TCTACTCCATGGGCCGAAACCCTGCAGTATTTCCAAGGCCGGAGCGCTACACGCCCCAGCGCTGGCTGGAGAGGAAAAGGAGTTTCCAGCACCTGGCCTTCGGCTTTGGGCTACGCCAGTGCCTGGGGAAGCGCTTGGCACAGGTGGAGATGCTTCTCCTGCTGCACCATGTGAGCAGCTCTGGAAGAGAGCAGTGGGATAGGGTGTGGACTGGATGGGTAGAGGTGGGCAACTAAGACAGACCTGCAGAGTTTATGTCAGCCTGGGGTGTCCTGCTCACCAGAACAGGCACCCAGAGATGGAAGGGCCTCAAAAATAAAGTGCAGCAGGATGGGATGAGCAAAGCAGTGTGGCCAAACAGAGACCAGATAGGGCCTTAATGGTGGCTTCGTGGGTGGGTATGGTCTCTAGAGCAGGGCTAGGCTCTCGGGGCCCCACAGGAGGTCGTCTTAGCAGCATGGTGGCAGCACTGAGCAGTTTAACAGGAGATGGGTCAGATGGAGATCCTCCCTTGTGTTCCAGGTGCTGAAATCCTTCAAGGTGGAGACACGAGAGCAAGAGGATGTGCAGATGGTCTACCGCTTTGTTTTGATGCCCAACTCCAGCCCCCTCCTCACTTTCCGGCCTGTAAGCTAGTCAGTTTTGCATCTAGGGTCCACTCAAGCTCCAGCCTACCTCTATCCTAACACCCAAGGTCATACATCTTTGCCAACAGGATGTTGTTTAGGGGCCACACTGTCATCCTTCAGCACTTGTAGAAGATTCCCACTAAAGACCTGCAGGGCCAGGGATTGCAAGGTCAGGGAAGGGGCTGGGATGATCTTGGAGACAACAACCAGTCCCTGCTGTGTGATTTCCCCCATCCTTTCAACACTCACTCCAGGCACCTATGGCCTCCAAGGGCCTCAGAATAAAGCCAGAAGACATTCCCTTTCATATGTTCTCCATCATTGTGACAAGGGCCACAAAATACATCCTACATTTACACATACGTGGGCTTGTGGGGGCAGACACATAGATAGGTTATGTATAGATAAAGATGTATAGGTAAAGATAGATAAACAGATATCGCTGTGTTTTGGTTCAGTAGCTTGAACATGGAGTTGGAACATATGAGCTAGTGACTCAGTAAAGCATATAGAAGTGTGGGGACATACACACTGGCTAAGGACAGGGTAATGGTGAGATCAGAGATGCAGACAAGAGGACTTGCTAGAGCCCTGATAATGTGTAATGTCTCTACGGGGATGGCTGTCTTCTCCCAGGAGGTCAAGGTGCTGACTGACGTAGACCAGTGTCCTTTGGACAAAGGTTTCATCTCCTGAATTGTGAAGGTGGCTCAGAACACAAGCCTCTTAGAGGTTTCCTTTCAGATGTGAGAGTTTAGGGGGGGAAATTGTCCAAGAATAACTATTTCATAGGATCTCCTGTCCTCAGTACTAAAGTGTATCTCCCTGAGCTTTATGTGCCAAACTCCAAAGACCACAGCCTTTGGGTCACTGTAGAGACAGCACCTCTAATGAAATAATTCATTGGAAATGGGGCTACTGGGCTGTGCCTAATCCAATCCCCCTGAGAGTCTCACAAGAGAGGGAGGTCACAGACCCCCAGAGACAGCTTCCATACAGAAGACAAGAGACAAGAAGTAAGTCTTCTGCAAGTCATGGAAAGAAGTTGAGGAATTCCTTCTCTGTCAGCTCCTTCACTCAGTCTTCCACTTGGTTGTGAAAAGTAACTTCTGTTGTTGAAGTTTTTTGCCATGAAGGTCGGGGCCAAGTAGTAGCACCTGCTAAGCAGAGAGCACCTGTGGCAAATAGTCTCCTAACACCAGGAAAAGGGTCTAGCTCATGAGACTATTGTGGGGTGGTGGGATTTTACCAGGTATAGCTCAATGGAAGGAAGTCTAGGCTTTAGGGGTGTGTTCTTAAAGGGATTTTAGGATCTGGGGTTCTCTCTTCCATTTCCTTCAAATCACAAGGAGAGCTGCCTCCGCTGCCTGTC